TGAAATTTATCAGGGCCAACACTGTAGTGTAGAAGGTTAAGCCACCGCCTGCGATGCCCATATGCTCCAGTTGCAATCCAGCTCCCTGCTAATGCACCTGGGAAGGCAGCAGAGGATGGCTGAAGTGCTTAGGCCCCCGCATCCATGTGGGAGACCCGGATGAAGCTCCTGGCTCCTGGCGTCAGCCTGGCCCAGCCCTGGCTGTTGTGGCCATTTGAGGAGTGAACCAGAGAATGGAAGATCTCTCTCTCTCACTCTCTCTCTCTCTCCCCCTCTCTTTGCCTCTCCTCTCTCTCTGTATGTCTGCCTTTCAACTAAATAAATAGATCTTTAAAAAATGTTTATGTGCAACTGCTACCAAAAGACTCTATTAAAAATAAAATTTATAAAGTACTTTTTTGCATATTTTGTTTATTATATAACTTGAGTAATCTTTAAATTGTTCAATTTGTAATATTATTTGAACACTGAGTGTGACTTACAATTTTGTTTGTCACATGCTCTTCTGTAATGTGGGCTTTCACATCTCATCCAAAAATAACCTATTGTCTTCTCCCTTGAAACTACCAGGCTTGTACACCTGCTGTGACCTAGAGATTGCAAGAGAAGTGATGTCACATGGTCTTACAAGCTTGGGCTCAGGAGAGCTGCAGCCTGAGCCCTTGCTTCTTGGGATGCTCCTTCTTGGAAAGCAGCCACCATATTATCAGGAAGCTCAAGCAACTCTGCTGAGAGGCCCTGGAGGAGGAAAGCTGAGCCTGCTGCCAAGACCTGTAGCTGAGTTCTCAGCAGCCAGCTTCACCTGGCAACCACATGCATGAGGCTATTTAGACCTTCCAGCCACCCAGTGCCCAGAAAGCAGCACTCGAAGCAGGAAGACTGCCTGACGATCACATGGAAATAAAAATCATTGCTTTAAGCCACCAGTTCTTGGGTGGAGGTTTATTTTACATGGTGATTTCTCCCTATTAATTAATGTGTTTCATTTTGGAGCACAACTTCATGCCTAAAATATATCACATTAGTCCTACATCCAGTCTCCTTCCTTCACTCCGATGAATATTTATCAAACATACACTGTGCCACATGCTGAGGGTACCAAGATCAAAGGCAGACATGTCCCTGCCTCATGAAACTCATAATCTCAATGGGAAGACAAATAGCAACAGAGAAATCAAAGTAAAGTTAAGATATGATAGTGGGAGTGCTAATGAAAACTGGCACAAGGCACTCTGGAAGTCCCCGGCTGAGGAACTGATTATCCGCAAGGTTAGACAAGGCAGTGAAGACTAAACTCTTAGATCTCAAGGATGACTGAAAGTTAATTAGACAAAGGGGAGAACAAGAGCCCTTCCCTGGGAGAGCTCAGCATGTGCAAAGGGCCTGTGATACAAAAGGGGATGGTATATTCAAGCTCTGCATCCGGAGCTGGCATCATGGCTCAACACCAGCCTGGAAGCAGGCAGGCCCCAGGCCTTGAAAGACTTTGCAGTCCTTGTGACGGAAGACTTAGCAACAAGAGGTGCTCAGATTCATTCCACTCCAACCAGGCTTCCTCCTCAAAGCCCATTGGGAAGAGGACTAACTTAGAGTACCCTACCATACAAACTGTAATTGCAAGGACACCATGGTTGTTTGGATACTCAGTGCACACGGTCACTTTGCATTACTATTCACTGCGATATTTACACACATCTAGACTCTAAAATCTGAGTACAGGGGCTGTATCTCATTCATTCATTTGTTTCTCCCCCTCCTGCACCTCCAAATAACTCAACATAGTGCTGGGCACATAGCAAATCCCTGAACGCAGAATCCATTCACAAATAACCTGTCAGAAGGGGTCTCCTGGGAGAGAACTCTACAGCCCCCTGATGGAAAGCCGTTCCAGGGACAGCAACACTCGGGGGGAAGCCTTGCTCTAAAGCTCCATTCCTTTCTAACATCAGCCAACCACTGAATTTCATCCTCAGTGAAGAACAAGAACACTCCAGCACATTTCCAAAGAATGCGTTGGAGTACACTTTGAAGATCATTTCTGGGTCACCCCTTGCTCGCTCCCTTTTCAGTAACAAAATATTAATCTTCTCACCTTTCCTCAAAGAAGCCATTTAGTGGCTCCCTGGATTCACTCCAAAACCTCCATCCTTCTTAAACCACGAAGGCCGGCAATCCAGCAGACGAGGAGACAAGGTCAAAGACGCCGGAGGGACCTTGTGCACAACTCTCTATCTCAGTCTGCTCATTCAGGGACAACTCAAACACTGAAACTTTCCTATCGGCTCAAAAGACAAAGATTATTTTACTGAATGAGTTTGCCAACTGCCTTCTGCCCTTCACCTCCGGTTCAGGCTTCCACATCTAACAACAATTCATTTGCTATTTTATTTATTTATTTTTTTTTAGTGAAAGCTTTTCCTCCAGGTTATCTGTAAGCGACACAATAAAAGAAATGAGAAGTGTTGTTTTCATCGCTTTCACCACGTGCAAAGTCCCCATGTGCAAAGTCATCACACAAGACTGTGAAATATCACCAACAAATTCCACCACTGCAATATCTCAAGATTTTAAAAGTCGGTAAGGCACTGGTCATCCGTTCCACAAATAATGAACCTCTATGAACATAAACAGCTGTGGTGCTTCTTTTCTTTGGCATTTAAGGGAAAATGGCTTGGTTTTATCCCAAAGATACTGTTACATTCCATTTGCAATCATTTTTCATCTCATCAAAGGACTAGAAATCGCTCAGTTATTTTTACTGTAGCCATTACAACAGTCTGTATGATGCCATCTATATAAGACCACGTGGAGGAAAAATGATCACCAAAATTAGGCATTACTGTGTGTGTCAAAAAGAAAGAAGATTGTGTACATGATACAGTGACTTCTTGAATTTAGATTGGACCATTTTATCAAGCCAATGAATCCCAGTTCCAGAAAGCTTTATGAAATATATTCTAAAAGTCAACAGTGGCTCCAATTATACCCAAAATTATTTAGCATGTAATGATTTTTACATTTTTTTTTTTTTTTAATTTTTGACAGGCAGAGTGGACAGAGAGAGACAGAGAGAGAAAGGTCTTCCTTTGCCGTTGGTTCACTCTCCAATGGCCGCCGCTGCAGCCGGCGCACCGTGCTGATCCGAAGGCAGGAGCCAGGATCCAGGTGCTTTTCCTGGTCTCCCATGGGGTGCAGGGCCCAAGCACCTGGGCCATCCTCCACTGCACTCCCTGGCCACAGCAGAGAGCTGGCCTGGAAGAGGGGCAACCGGGACAGAATCCGGCGCCCCAACCGGGACTAGAACCCGGTGTGCCGGCGCCGCAAGGTGGAGGATTAGCCTATTGAGCCACGGCGCCGGCTCGATTTTTACATTTTTAAGCCAGCACACAGCAGCACATTTTACAAAAACATATTATCTGATTCACTTACTGGCATAAACTGAGGACAGAAGGAAAGATCAAAAGAATACTGTTTTGTTTGTGTTTGGAAGAGCAAAGTATAAGTGCAGAGATAGTGTGGGTTAACTCAAAAGTTTTGGTCAAACAGTTCATGGAATGCAGTGCCATATAATAGTATTTCCAAGAATTTACAATAATAAAGTGCTCCCCAAAATAGGCACCTACACCACAAGACCTCCAACAGTGTAATTCACAAATGTTTAAAATATGAACGTTGTCTTTGCCTTACCAAGTACACAAGCTAGCATTGCAAAGGGAATGGAACCCACTTTCAGAGTGAATGCAGAATCCAAAGGTATTTCTCTTAACCATGCACATGCTCTGTGCTCACTGAATTAAATAGCAGTGACAATTCCTGATTCTGCAGCAGGTGAAATTCTGCATAATAAATACAATCCAAACCCGCTTGAAACAGACCCTTCAGGAGAGGTCTGCGCCCAGTTGTGGGTCTAAAGCCCATTCAGTGGCCATGATCTGTTTCAACTGATGATAACTAACCATCACTTCACAAACACACCGCAGCGATCACAGGTTGAAACCATTACGCAAGGATCTGACTGACCTACAGGGGAAGGAAGTTCTCAAGGTCACCCCAGCAGACCAAGGCAGAACCTGAGAGGGAAGCTTCTTGGTGAGCTAACTACAGTCTTCCCAGGCCACCCCAAATGCCAACACCCCAGCGGTTTCCGTTCCAAAGAGAGATCAAGGTGACTCACTTTTGCATGATCTCCAGCACCCAGCGCTAGGGGTGGTTTCACGTACAGTAAGGAAATCCAGGACCGCTTTCCTGTGTCAAGGTGAAAGGCACATCAGCCTCAGCCTTCGTGGCCGTGCCGGCCACAAACAACACTGCTTGGAACCACGCCGAAAAAAAAAATAAATAAAACGCCTAACACAAACCGCGCAGACCCCGGCTATTGAGTGCCGGCGTTGGCTTACTTGCATTTATTTAACCAGGTCCGACCGCTTTCCCCTAAATAAGCGAATCAAAGAAGAGGTCCCAAAGTGAGACCGAACTTTCTGCTCCAAGCGTTGTTCCTTTGACTAGAGCTCGAAGATCTCTCCCAATATCTAGACAGAGTGTTCAAAATAGCACAGGGCAGAAGAAACCCTTAACTCTCACTCCGGCGCAAGCCAGGTCCCCTGCACCCAGCGGGGTCCGGTGACTCCAAGCCGAGTTTCTCCCAGTCCGGAAGGTGCAAGCAGCAACATTCCCAGCTCTCAAGTTCGGGGTGCCTGACCAACATCCCCGTCCCTGCCGACCCGAAGCCGTACAAACTTCCCGGGGTGGTGCAGAGACGCCTGGACCCAAAGACTGCGGGGTTACCGGGCCTGGGAGAGAGGGACGCGGTCCGAGAAGGCGAGCGCGGGGACGAGGACGCCAGGATCCGGAGACTTAGGAGCCCGGGCTACTGGGAGACAGACGCAGCCCGAAGCGGCGCGCGCGATCAGGGACCGGACCTGCAGCTGCCGCCGCACGTGGGGGCCGTGCTGGGTGCCAGGACCCCCGGCGCCGCTCGCCCGCCCGCGCCCGCAGCCTACCTGTCTGAGGATGAAGCTGGTCGAAGTGGTGCTGCCATCGGATCTTTTCAACCTGCTCCTCCGGGTCGTGGTGCCTCGGGCCACCTGGACTCGATACACGGGGCCAGAGAGAAGCCGGTGAGCACCGCAGCGTGGAGCGGGGTGACCACCCTGGCCAGAGTCCGCCTTGGGACCAGCTCCCTGGGATCCCCCAGAGCCCGCACCCAAGTCCCCAAGTCTCCTCCGAGGCTCCCGAACACAGCCCCCACCCCCACCCACCCACTGCAAGCCTGGACGGCTGAAAAGATTCCCGAGGAGAGCAGCCCGCGAGCACCCACCACATCCATCAACAAAGACTCTCGGGGTGCGGGGTCCGAGTCCCCGGCATCCGCTGGGGGAGGCTATGGGCTCCGGAGCCGGAGCGCAAAGACCTGGACTACGATGAGGAGGAGGAGGAGGAGGAGGAGGAGAAGGAGGAGGAGGAGAGGGAGGAGGAGGAAAGGGAGGAGGAGCGGGAGGAGGAGGAGCGGGAGAGGAAAGGGACGCGGAGAACGGATGGGGAGCCGGGCAGCCGACTCCCGGGACTCGGGGGCCCAGCCAACCTGGCACAAAGGCGGGGCGCTCTTGGGCGGCGAGGAGGCGGAGGCGGAGGAGGGGGCGGTACCTGCGAGGTGGGGGAATGCGGCCCGTCCACGGTCCCGTTCTTGGCGTAGGAGGAGGAGGACATGGCTCAGAGCCGCCGCATGGCCAGCCCGTGCGCGGTGGGCGGAGGGCGCGCGGGCCCCGCAGGCTGGGCTGCGACCGGAGGGGGAGGGCGGCAGGACTTCCCCACCCGGCTCCCTGGCCCCGCGCCGGCTCCCGGGCTCCCCGCCCGCACTTCGGAGAGCGTGGCACCTTAAAGGGGCCGAGACGCTGCCCCCGCGCCGGCTTCGGGGTCCCGGGGAGGGGGCTTCTTGGGATCTCGCCTCCCCGAGCCGATCGGGAGCAGCTCTCTCCCACCTAGCGGGCGCTTTACATCAGAGCTTCCCAGAGGAGGCAGGGAGGGGAAAATCTGGGATGGGGGTGGGAAGATTAAAATAGTCTGCACAGTTTAAAATGAAACAAAGGTGGCACGGTTCATGAATCAGGACTTGGGGAGGGAGGCTGGTGCAGTGTGGCGGGGAGTGGGAAAGACCGAGTGGGGGTGTGTGTGTGTGCGCGCGCGCCGCCCTGGAATTTTAAAAGGGCAAAAGCCAGCCTTCCTTACTCGACTTCACTCAACCGCTCGCTGTGGTAAGACGTGGGATGAGGGGGCTGCTTCCTGTTCGTGTTTTTGTGTTGTTTGGGTAACTCCAGCCTCAGAGCCACGAGACACACGCGCGCGCCCGCACACTCACACACGCGTGCGCACACACACATTCAGCCTGGGCGAGAGACCCTGCTGGCCAGTCTTCGGCAAGATGCAGCCCCTCACAGGAGACCGGCAGGTCCTAAGGAGTTTTGAAGGTCAAGTTAGACCTGCTAAGGAGCAAGAGTTGGCCACGTGCCTCCCATTTCTCCGTGGTTGGCAGTTAGCAAGGGAGGGAGGTCATCCTGGCCACCATCCCCAACCTTTGCCTTGCTGCCGCCGCCTGCCTTCCGCAAACATATTCGGAGGTGAATCTGAAATCACACGAAAAGCCAAGGATTGTGGCGAAGAGGGATTTGAAGTCATAAGAAGAGTAAGGAAAAATATATGCAAATTCAAAAATAGTTACTGCACCGAATCCATCATTAAAATATACAAGGTCTCTCAAATCACTAGGTCAGCCATCCTGCCTTGTATTCTAATATTGTATTGATTAATTTATTTACAGAAATAAATGCCATGTTTAAGACTTACTTGGCCTTGAGGTCCTGGTTCTTTCTTACCATCCACCTGATACTTTCTTTCCACTCCTACCCCCCTTGATTTATGCCAAGGTTGTGTGTGTGTGTGTGTGTGCTTAACTAGTCTCTGCCTCTAGGCTCCCTACTACACACACACACACACACACACACTTCCAATTAGACACTATAGGAAAATGCATATTCCCAAAATCTGTTTTGCTCAAGTCACTTATCTAAAACATAGCCCCAAATCTGTGGTCCAACCACCAAGCGTCCCTGCATTTCTGATTATCACCACATTTCGCCAACTTGATTGCTCCACACCTACCTTCCAGAAAGCAGGCAGTTTTGCTGATTACCACCCAGACCTACCAAATACAGTCCCATACAGCAACTCTGCCTTGGAATGCCTCCTTGGAACACACCCCCTTCCCCAGCCTGCAAGTGCTGCTGTCCCCTGCCCTGCCTCCAAACCCTGCCTCAGGTCACTGTTCCTCCACAGAACCCCCCCTGACCACTCCAGTCCTGGAGAGCTCTTGTGCGCTTGCAAAACTGGAGCATTTATTCTCTGGGGACTTAGCATAGGTTGCCTTGGTTTATTCTCTTTTTGTGAAAATCTCCAAGTTTCCAAAACTGATGTTTCACTTGTTATCTCCTATTCCTGGAGACACTCCCTGAAGTTTACAGGGAGGTGGTATGTCCAACAATGCAGAACTCCCTGCTGTAGTGACCATCAGCCCAATCTGGTTTTAGTTCTGAGCCTTTTTTTTTTTTTTTTTGACAGATAGAGTTAGACAGTGAGAGAGAGAGAGAGAAAGGTCTTCCTTCCGTTGGTTCACCCCCCAGATGGCCGCCATAGCCAGAGCTGAGCTGATCTGAAGCCAGGAGCCAGGTGCTTCTTCCTGGTCTCCCATGCGGGCACAAGGGCCCAAGCACCTGGGCCATCCTCCACTGCCCTCCCAGGCCACAGCAGAGAGCTGGACTGGAAGAGGAGCAATCGGGACTAGAACCTGGCACCCATATGGGATGCCAGCGCCGCAGGCGGAGGATTAACCAAGTAAGCCACAGTGCCAGCCCCAGTTCTGAGCCATTTTCATAGTGACATTTCATATATATATATATGATATATATATGATGAATATACATATATATATATGATGAATTGTGATGTGGCCACTAGAACTTGAATATTCTGCATTTCAACTGCCCACAGGCTCACTGACTTAGAGTTATCAAAACACAGTCTACAGTGGATCAACAGTGCAAAGAGCTCTGTACAGCTGATCCACAGCAAACTGAAAATGATTCACACACACACACACACAACCACTGAAATCTCTGGACATGGTCCTGAGGGTACAAACCAATAAAGAAAAATCTATCCAGGGAAGTAACTGGGGTATGCATGTTGCACAGTGGTTCAGCTGCTGTTTGGGATGCCTGTATCCCCTATGACATTCTATATCTGCTGCAGATTCCAGCTTCCTGCTAATGCACACCCTGGGGAGGCAGCACACGATGATGGTACAAGTAGCTGTGCTCCTGCCACCCAGGTGAGACACCCAGATGGAGTTCAGGGTTCCCAGCTTTGGACTGGTCCAGACCTTGCTATTGTGAGCATTTATGGTGTAAATCAGCAGATGAGAGATATCTCTCTGCCTTTCAAAAAAAAAAAAAAAAGAGAGAGAGAGAGTCTGGTATTTGAACTAAAACCTGCTCCCTGCCTATGAAACCGAGCCCCCACCATCCAGTTGCTTGGATGCAGTACTAGATCCTATCAGTTCCCAGTCTCCGGGTCTCCAAGCCTCCCTCCCTTAGCTGAAAGTTTCTTTGCCCTGCTTTTATGACTGCACATCATCCACGTACTGAAATTAACTCTCTGAAGTGAGGCAGTGGTATAGGGGTCGCTAGTCATGGGACTCATGAGGTTATTTATTTCCTTTGGAGATGATGTTAAGCGTTGTCTCCAGGTGGTTCCTTTCCAGGAACTCCAGGCCCTGGGCAGAAAAGTAACCACCACCTGCACGTAGCCCCAGACTGAATGGAGCCCACTCTGCTATCAGCAGAATTCCCCCAGAGAACACAGCCTTGCCATGAGCACCACTAACCAACACCTAGACAGTGCTGCACACACACCTCTCAGTCCCGACTGCAGTCTATCCCTAAGCCTCTGGGGACCTTGGGGATTACGTGTTAGTTGCCTGGCTTCTTCCTCTGTGCTTTGCAATAAGTACCTTATTTTTTTTTAACACCACTTCAGTGTCAGTGTGGGGAGCAACTCGGACTAGACTAAGTTACTGGAATTAAGACTTATTCTATGCATCTGCTCTCCCACAATATGGTGCTGGGAGAGGAGGAAACAGCTTCTACACAGCTGCCTCCAGTTCAACCAATAAACTGTAGGACCTGCTCCTGATTGGAGGAGAGCAGCGTACTCGGCGTGTGGGTAGCAGAGTTGGGATTGGTGGAAGAGGACTATAAAGGAGGAGAGAGACAACATGCACCAGGAACATCTAAGAGGAACACCTGTGCAGCCCCCGAGAGAGCCGGCCGGCGGTGTGCCGCTCCCCCGCGGAAGTGGGGAATGTGGCAGGGGAACCGCCCTTCCACGGAGGTGGAAGGGATGGTAGCCAACCCGGGAAGAACCAGCAGCAAACCCGGGGAGGGCCGAGCAGACGAAAGAACAGCGCAGGGTCCTGTGTCGTTCCTCCACGAAGAGGGGGAGCGACAGTCAGTAATTGCTTGCTGCATGTCAGGCAATTGGGCTCAGTTGTGGGGGTTCTATAGCAATTCCTTCAATGTTTCTGGGGGTGTTTTATATCATGTTTCCAGCTCTGGTGCAGCCAAGAACACGAGCCCTCTTCTCAAACCCTAGTTGCAATTACCTGCAAGGGAGGGACAGGATGTTGACATTTATCATCCTGTTCCCAGCTACTTATTACTGAGGTTAAGTTCTGAGCAACTATGGCAGAGAGAAGAGAGCTAGCTTCTTCTGCCCAGCCCCCACTCCTGGGATAAATGAGAGCAATGGGGCATTGACTATCTAGCTCCTGGCGCTCAGAGACTAAACCAGAAGCCCTGAGATTACTGCTCCTCCCTACCAAGCAGTCAGCTCTTAAAGTGGTGATGTCCTGGGGCTGGCATTGTGGCTCAGTGGGTTAAGCTGCCACCTGCGATGCCAGCATCCATATGAGTACTGTTTCAAGTCCCAGCTGTTCCACTTCCAATCCAGCTCCTGACTAATGCACCTGGGAAAGCAGCAGCAGATGGCTCAGGTACTTGGGTCCCTGACACCCACGTGGGAGACCCTGATGAATCTCCTGGCTCTTGGCTTAGGCCTGGCCCAGCCCCTGCCATTGTGGCCATTTGGAGGAGTGAACCAGTGGATGGAAGAATCTCTCTCTCTCTTCCTCTATATATAATTCTATCAAATAAATAGATAAATTAAAAAAAAAAGTGGTGATGTCGGGCCGGCACTATGGCACAGCAGGTTAAAGCCCCGCTTGCAGCACCAGCATCCCCTATGGGCACTGGTTTGAGTCCTGGCTGCTCCTCTTCCAATCCAGATCGCTGTTAATGTGCTTGGAAAAGCAGTAGAAAGATGGCTCAAGTACTGGGCCCCTGTACCCACATGGGAGACCCAGAAGTTCTTGGCTCCTGGCTTTGGATCAGCTCAACTCTGGCCATTGCAGCCATCTGGGGGTGAATCAGCGGATGGAAGAGCTTTCTCTCTCTCTGCCTCTGCCTCTGACTCTGTGTAACTCTGCCTTTCAAATAATAAAATAAATCTTAAAAATAAAAAATAAAGTGGTGATGTCAGCATTATGCTTCCCATAAGCACCAGAGTGGAAAGAAATAGAATCCTTACCTCAGACACACAATATACAGAAATTAACTCAAAATAGATCAAAGACTTAAATAACTAAAAAATACAAAACTATTAGAAAAATAAGATTAAATATTTATGATGTTGTATTTAGCAATATTTAGATATGACACCAAAACACAAGCAACAAAAGACAAAATGCTTTTCACTTCATCAAAATTTAAAACTTGCCCACATGTGGCACAGTGCTTGTTTGGGTCCCTGCTGCTCCACTTCAGATCCAGCCCCCTGCTAATGCACCTGGGAAAACAGCACAAGTTGGCCCAAGTGCTTAGGCCCCTGCTACCTCCGTGGTAAATGGAGTTTGTGACTCCTGGCTTCAGCCCAGCCCCAGCCATTGTAGCAACAGAGGAGTGAACAACTTTCTCTCTCTCTCTCTCCTGTTCTCTGTCATTTGCCTTTCAAATAAATAAATCTTTAAAAAATGTTTTAAAGCTTTTGTGTTGCAGAGGTCACTATCAACAATCTGAGAGGCCAACCCACAGAATGGGAGGAAATATTTGCAAATCATAAATCTGACAATGGACTTCAATCTAGAATATATAAATAACCCTTAGAACTCTGTAAAAAATAAATAACTCAGTTTTTTAAATGGACACAGGATCACCAAGAAAGATAGACCCACGGCTACCTGGCACATGAAAAGATGGCCAACATCATTAGTCAGCAAGAAAATGCAAATCAAAACCAAGAAGGGGCCACATACGGTTTGAATGCCTGTCCCCTCCAAATTGAAGTGGAAATTGAACTGCCACTGTGCCAGTACGAAGAGGAGGCACCTTTGGGAGGTGACCAGGCCTGCACGAGTCTTCAGTCTCATGGCTGGGAGTCGGGGGCAACTTTGGAGCCCCTCTTGCTCTGCCTCCCTCCTTCTGCCTCCCCTGTGTGACGATGGAGAAAGCAGGCCCTTGTGCCAGCACCTTTGTCTGGAACTTCTCAGCCTGTACCACTGGGAGAAAATCAGTTTTTGTTCATTTAAATCACCTAGTCTCACATATCCTGTTACAGCAGTACAGAATGATCTGGGACAGCCACCTTACAACCTCTAGAAAAAAATGTATAATTAAGAAGTCAGATAATAGCAAGTACGAGCAAGGATGTGCAGAAACTGGAATCATAATGTACTGCTGAAAGGAGTATAAAAGCGCAGACTTTAAAAAAATTTTTTTTTTTTTTGACAGGCAGAGTTAAACAGTGAGAGAGAGAGAGACAGAGAGAAAGGTCTTCCTTTTCCACTGGTTCACCCCCCAAGTGGCTGCTGCGGCCTGCGCGCTGCGTCGATCCGAAGCCAGGAGAGCCAGGTGCTTCTCCTGGTCTCCCATGCAGGTGCAGGGTCCAAGGACCAGGGCCATCCTCCACTGCACTCCCGGGCCGCAGCAGAGAGCTGGACCAGAAGAGGAGCAACCGGGACAGAATCCAGCGCCCGGACCGGGACTAGAACCCAGTGTGCAGGCGCCGCAGCCGGAGGATTAGCCTATTGAGCCACGGCGCCGGCCAAAAGTGCAGACATTTTGAAACAGCGTGTGATAGTTACTCAAATGAATAAACCAGATGGCCTCATAACGCCACTCCTAGGTATATACCCAAAGTAAATCAAAGTTGCTATCCACACAAAAATGTTTATAAGAATGTTCATAAAGCAGTATTCATAATAATCAAAATGGGCATAACCCAAGTATCTACCAATTGATGACTCAATAAGCAAAATATAGTATATCCATACAAGAGATTATTATTCATTCACACAAAGGAATGAAGTACTGATACATGCTACAACTTGGACAGACTTTAAAAATGTGAGTATGATCCCATTTATCTAAAGTGTTCAGAATAGGCAAATCTATAGAGACAGAAAATAGATTAGTGCTTGTGAGGGCTGGGGTAGCTAAAGTGTATAGGACTTCTTTCTGAGATGAATAAAATGTTATAAAAATGAATTTAGTGGTGATTGCACACATCTGTGCAACGGATTGAATACTTGAAATGGGAACTGTTTGGTACGTGAATTATATGCTAATAAAGCTTTTTTTTAAAGATTGATTTTTTTATTTGAAAGAAGAGTAACAGAGAGAGGGAGAGACAGAGAGAGAGAGATCTTCTATCTGTGGGTTCACTCCCCAAATGGCTGCAATAGCCAGGACTGAACCAGACCAAAGCCAGGAACCTGGA